CCTTTGTTTTTGTTGTTGTTGTGTGTGTGTATTAAATGTAACCGGTATTTAATACATTTGAATGAATTGCGGTAATGTAGGAATGTATGTGTGTGTAGATTTTATACATATATCTGAGCATGAATGTATGACACCTTTCAATAGATCAATTACGGTTCTAACCACTACATTAAACATTACTATGAGTGTGGTTAGCAGTTCATATTTATAAACACATCATAAGTAACAGATTTCGGATGAATGAACTCGCCCGCACACATGTCTAAGGTCAACATAACTCTGGGTATTTTCAGACCATCGGACTGTAAACAGTTACACATTGATAACAGGAGGGTGTAGCGTTTGTGTGGAATGCACTCATCCTTGTAAAGGTAAATCCATGTAAAATACGTGTTTAAACTCACAATTTAAATGATTACATTACTTTTAGATGTATTGGTATGAATGGGAGGCTCGTAGATCTGTGAAGTTTGTGTCGATGTCTGTCTAGGGACTACACATATTATCATCGAGGTATATGAAGATCATATTCTATGCAAAAACTGACAAAACAAACAATCCATTCATATCATTTATTGATTCAAGTCAATCGGTTCAATGCAAAGCTGTGATGTACGAATGGACAATAGGATTCACTCTGGAACATTAAAGTCAACAGTTCAGTCACTTTATACACATGCTGCTGCTTCAGGGTGCGATTGTTTAAACAGCAAGTCCATGTTTTGAAACACATTTCGCACTGTTGAATGATCAGTTCACCTTTCCTATGCTGTTTTAAGGTTGAATGGTTATCTATAGTCTATGATTTATCCATTGCCTTTAAAGATTTCCGTCCAGGGGGTCCCAGTTTCACAACTCCTCTTATGTAGAGGGAAATTCGGCGTTTCTTATCGTTCAAACACCTCACTTTATGAGGTGTTTTTAAAATATGAATCAAACTAGACGTGCAGCGTTGACTCGACATTCTCTTCTGACTGTTAGAGTGATATATTAATGACCGGTATTTATTTCCTCAAACATTCTCCTCCATGTCATCCTCCCTCCCTCACTCCCTTCACTCCTTATCCCCTCAACCCAGCGTGCTGCCCCCCAAGTCTCCTTAGAAATAAGCAAGTCAAGATCAGCTTGTGAATAAACCATTCCTCTGAAGGCTCCCTTTCAAGTATCCACGGTTATACATGAATATCAGCCTGCCGCCCCTCCAACCCTCTCTCCTTAGGCTTTTGTGATCTGTTGCTTACAGTTCAGTTCAAGATGTCTTACCTGTGTGATGCATGTTCTGGCCTGCTGCCCATGGAAGCCAACGGTGAAGACCATCAATGATTATTTACCGGTGTGTATTGTAAGACCAAATCAAAATACACATACCATCGGTTTTTAATGCATAGTCACAAATGTGCTGTGAAGAGAAGAGCGTCTTCTAAGATTCCCTCATGCACGTGTAAGACAGTATAAACTCTATGGTAGTGTAGCCTGACAAACAGTTTAACTCTCGCCAGCAAACGGATTGGACGTGAACAACATGAAGAAAGCATCAGTGATTAGACTTGACCCTAGAGATATATTTAGGAAGACCACGTTGAGAAAATCACAACAGAGAAAGAAACCACAACCATGATGACAAAGAAGAGACAGGTAACACCTAAAATGAAAACGGTGACAACCCAGAAGGGACAGAAGACAACAACCCATGAAAAGATGATATATGACACAGATGCAAGCTGAAGTGAATCAGGCAAAAGCTGCTTTGAAACGAGCGTAAGCTGACTTGAAACGTCAACAGTATAAACGAAGCCTGGTAATCTGGACACTTGTATAGGATCACGATGGGAGTAACTACCTGTCTGGACTGTGGGAAGATAATCTACAGAGACATTGGAAGCAGTCACATAGATCCACTCCAAACGTACCTCCTCCTTCTCTGGATAACAACGCCCCTCCTGTAGGTAATGACCCTCCTCAAGAGAGACACCCTCCTTCTCAAGAGAGACACCTACCTCCTCCTCAAGAGAAACATTCTCCTCCTCAAGACAGAGACGCCCTCCTCCTCCTCTTCCTCGCCAGCAGCAAGAACGGTTCAAGTTTCTGATTCCCTCGAATGCACTCGTTGTGGGACCCAGTGGCTGTGGAAAGTCTGTGTTTACCTCTCATGTGCTCCGACATGGCCTGATCCAACCCCAACCTACCCGCATTGTTTGGTGTTATACTCAATGGCAGCCATTATATCAGGACATCAGCGAGCAGCTGCCTCAGCTGACCTTTGTAAAAGGAATTCCCTACGATATCTTGGACGAGGATTACTTTGATGCTGGCCAACGGAATGTGTTGGTCCTGGGTGAATTCCTGGCTGAAGCAAAGGAAGACGAGTGTATTTCCCGGCTGTTTACTCAAACCTCCCATCACAAGAATGTATTGATCTTTCTCTTGGTACAAAATTTGTCTCCGACAGGTAAACAATCGAGAGCCATTGCTTTGAATGCACATTATGTCAGCCTGTTTCATTCCCCCATAGAGAAACAGCAAATCAAACTCTTCACTCGTAGAATTAACGGATCGCCAGTGGAGAGTTAACCACACCCCCAAAAGAAAGGGAGATAGCTCTGAAAAGGTCCGACAATATAGCTGTCGAACCCAACTGTCAAAATGGCAGTCGTGATATCGTTTAGAGACATTCCCGATGATATTGGCCCTAAATATCTGCCTTATGAACTAACTTTGCGGCAAACACAACGTGGAGTGGCTTTTAGTTCGGCCTCATACCTTCATTCCGTTACTTTCCATTCATGTTGTGATAATATCGTGTCGATTTGCGGGAGGATTTATAGAAGTCAACGGAAAACCGAAGCTCCTCATGTAATCAACTTGTCCCTTGACAGAATTCACAAATCGTTCACTGACGCCTATTGTAGCTGCAAATGTGGGTGAGTAGTACACGAAATAACGTCGGGTGCCTTTCCAATTGATGGCATAAATCTGTTGGGGTTTTATAAGCGGCATATATAGATAGCAAATCAATTACACGTCTGTGTGCTGGCCGTTTCAGTTGTTGACAATGAAACCCATGTTATCCCATATAATTACGTTAAATTTCTATCATCGTGAAAGAAACAGATTCTGTAATAAATGTAAGAGGTAAATGTAATATCTGTTATTAGGCATTGCTGGAATAAAACCATGTAAATGTATTTTCTTCTCAATTATATAATATATTCCTGCTATCAATCACAGTTCTGTAACAAATTTATTCACCCAATTCTCTTCAATGCAAGTGGAAAGTGTTCCCATGTACTGGCACTTGTCCTGATACTGGAAGGCTGGAAGATATCAGGCTATCAAGTCATTCCTTCACAGCCCTCTTCCACTAGCCTGCCTCAGCAGTGGGATAAACCAAGGGAACCAAAGATTGAATCTGAAGCAGTGTCACATAATTATTGCCAGGCCTGGAAATCTCAATAGGAAAAGGAAACCTGTGATGGCCACATTCAATGACAACAGGTGATGTAATTATATATATAAAGTTTTATTACAGATTCTGAACTTGTTTTATGAAAATGATGTATCATAATGCAAGCATTACCTATATGACATTTTTACTCCATGATCATCAGATCATAGAAAATACTCATCACAGTTTAGAAAGCAATATCAGATGACTATTGAGCAGTTGTTTGCATAAATATTAAAGTTCAGTTAAGTGAACAAGGAACAAGAGCATGTACAAAATATTCATTGACATTGCAAGTTTTTAACATACACAAATACAATATTTGTGACTAATACCTTTTGTACTTGCAGGAAAGTTCAAATACAGGAGTCGGACATGTCTCTGCTGCACACAACGAAGGGATTTGCTATTTCATACCTGACAGATACATGTACCAGCACCAGTCAGACAGTTGACACACCAATAGGTCCTCAGGTTGTTGGATCAACTCTTGGACATCAAGTAATTAATCTTTATCTTGAATTAAATATGGCATAAAATTGGTCAAGAAACAGCACACAAACCAAATTTGATTTACTGAGGAAAACAAACTTAAATGCAATTTCTTACCAACAATTTTGAATTTTTTTACCCTTCCAATGGCATTTTCGACCACCACTCTGTGTGTTGCAATTTTCACTGTTTCTGCCACATCAGACACACACATCTGACCTATACCTAGTGCAAAAGGGGAAATGTTGAGGCGTAATCCAGTTGCCCTTATTTCCTTTTCAATATTAAAGCCCTTGTCTGCCATCAGACCATCTCCCACTTTAAGTTTCCTACACTTAACCATTTCTCTGAGGAGGGACAGATAACCACTTTTTTCAGTTAATTCTTTGTCTGATATCGCCCCAGAAAACAGCATTGATATGAATGTAATTGAACCTCTTGGGTCCACACCAATGAGACCTTTCAGGGTAGTACTTGATTTGTAATCTGAATATGCTTGACTTTGCCTTGTCAGTGAAGAGGGTCTCTGAATTTTTATTTCTGTTCCATCAATCATACTGAAAGTGTTTGGAAATTCCTGGCGAAATTTTGAAGGCATGTGTTGCTGCAAAACATCACGGTGAGGCCAAATTGACACAGATCCAAACCTGTAATATAAATAATTTATCCAATTTGAAAACGCAGTACTGCAATCTTTGGGTGATATCAGAAACAACTTTGAGAGATGTTTAAAATCAAAATTCTGTCTAAGTTTAATCAGAACAAGCAAAAGCTGGTCTTCAAGACCCATACACTTCAAACTGCCAACTGTTCTGGTAAACTGAAACGGTTCATCATCAGCATTGCCAGGGACAACAAATTAAAATATTTTCTGAAACTGTTCGTAGGGAAATCCTGTGTAATACTTGTAATTCTTTTTCTCTATATTTTTACAAAAAGAATACACATCATGCTTAACATTTTTAGCACTAATTTTGGTGTTGATCTGCTGGGCACGCATGAGCTTCTCCTTTTCTATGAACCGGTTTGGCCATATTGTTCTCTGCAGCTAGAGCCAGCATATCCAGTGGCAGAGGACCTGTAAAAGCAATTACAACTGTTTCAAGCAATAATACATTCTACAGAGAAGATATGATCTGGCTAGTTTAGGGCACCAAACCCATTATTAAGCCTGAAACAGACTTACCTATTATCAATCTGACTTGTTGTAATGTTTAGAAAATGCTTTGCACACAAAAGAATAAGTTAAGAATGAACACATAGCACCCACAACATACTTGTTTCAATTTGAGATTTAAGAAGTAAAACAGCCTTATTACCTCCCTTGTATGAAACTAAGTGTGAATAAACTGGCTTCTTCTCTTTACAGGCACCCTTAATTAGACCAATAGTGGTTCCAAAGATGGAGGACAGGTGCGGAGATGTCACATTTCCAAAAGATGACAACTTACCCGAACTGGATTCAATTGCAACTTTAAAACATCAGTGGAAAGATTTAGAACTTTCAGTTGACGAGAGTCCCATAATTTAGAAAAAAATACAAGATCTCAAAGCAAGTCTGATTTGTGGTACAAAGCGAGGAAAGGGCGAATTACTGCTTCAAACTTTGGTCTGCTTATGACTTGCAAAAAACACATCAATGACACATTTATCAGAAACACCTTTGACAAAAAGAAATTTTCCTCCAATCCAACAACTTATGGGAATTCTAATGAGAAAATAGCTAAACAAATGTACATGAAAAAAACTCAAAATCATCTTCATGACATTGGCTTTGTTGTAAACCCATCTATTCCATTTATAGGAGCCACCCCTGATGCTATAGTGTGTGACACTTTTGTTTCTGGTATTGTGGAAATTAAGTGTCCTTATGCTGTAAGGGACTTGACCATTAATGAAGCCTCCTGTATGACTGGTTTCTTTTTGAACAAAGAAGGCAAATATTACAACTTGAAGAGAGGTGATAGGCATTGGTATCAGGTACAGGGCCAACTACTTGTAACTGGGGCACCATTTTGTGACTTTGTAACCTACACCAGACAAGACTTTAACATTGAACGGATATATCCAGATAGGAATACCTTCAGGACTCTGCTTGAAACTCTGTCACAAACATATGTCAATCACGTCAAACCATACTTTGCAGGGAAATAAACTTCATAAAAAATTACCCATGGTGCCACTTTGTTGGACAAGAATATCAGATTCCTGCTGCATGGTTGTAGGCTCTGGATGTTCCATATCCGTCTGATTTGGTGAATCAGAAATATCTGTATCATGATTACATCTGAAAAAGAAGATGAAGACCAAATTATCTTATACCTGAACCTCAAATGTGTTACAGCCTTTAAATGGTTACCATCTTTGTTCATTTCCTATAACTTTTTGATTACCTATCAGGACTATTTATGCCTGGATTAACTTTTCTAATATATGTGTTTATTGCTATTACAATTCAGCGATAAATAACTTTTTTGGCTTCACTTGTTAAGTGCCCACAGTTGACATCATATCGCTTAGTTGTTTCACATGTAATATTGCCATCTGCTTCCCTAGTTTTATTCGTCTCCCAGCTGATGAAGGAGTAAGAATATATTCTATGATGGATCCTCAGGAAATAACCAGTATGAATGGACTAGTTCTTGTGGATATTGGACCATCTGATTCATACATTATCTCTATATTTGAGAAGTCATCTTTTCTGTATGAAATATGAGCAATCTATGGATAGGGACTAGTGGCTGTGTCTGGCCATGCCTCTGACTGAGTTGAGTTTTTACGCCACTTTTAGCAATATTCCAGCAACATCACGGCGGGGACCCAGAAATGGGCTTCACCCATGTAAAAAATACATCTATCAATGTGTAAATTAATGTTGTATTTAAACATATTTAAAAAGAACCACTGTCGTGGCTGATCTTAGTGGTTACAGGAAATGTCCACGTTGATGTATTAATATTTATGATGGATTGGAATGAATACTTTGAATCCTTTAGAGTTATTGTGTATTATCACTCAATATTAGCCCTCAGTGAAACACAGTTTTGACAATTAGATTTTTATCAGTCCCTGCAGGTGACATCATCCCTTCATATGCTTATATGAATAGAACTTGAGTATGATTGTGATCTTGTGATGCATGTGATACTTCTGTCTTTTCGTAACTACAAAGGATCTAAATGTGTGACATTACCTTTACTAATTATAACTTTCTGTGATACTCTCAGAATAAACAAGGATTTGTTTGATTTTTATATTTCAATGGTTTTGTCGTGTTTTGAGCAGTAAGTATAAAGGCAACAATGTTCTACCTGTGTGTTTCAAGAAGAACTTTCCTTTTCCCGTCCCCCATAAATGGCAAGCGTGGTTTGGGTCGTGGTCTTACTGTCTTTGGATTTTCATTTTGTTCATGAGGTAGTGCAGACGCAGGGTCCGGAAATGTCTTGGAGGGTTTTCCATCAACAAAGTGCTGTAAATAAGCTCGCATTTATTAGTTGATAGAAACAACGATAAACAACATGGATGTATCTGAAATCGTATGCTCAAACACAGACACCCTCTGTCCTTGACATACCACGCGGTGGAACATTAGTAACTAAATCAGTGAAAATCGGTGTAAACTGGTTATATAACAACTATAAAGCACTGAAAGTCTACCAAGTCAAAGATTTCTAAATTTGCATTAACTTCAACATTGGTTAATATGTTATTCAATTTTAGTTTCCATACCTTTGTACATACGAAGAAATGTTTTCCTCGGCTGTGGTCACGAAGTATGTCCATGTTTCAGTTGATACTTGGGGCGACCACACAAACGTATCCATCGTTGACATTTGTCAAAATTTCTGGCAGGCTTGGGAAATGGAATAAACGTGATACCACCAGCAAGACGTTCCGGGTACCGCGTGTCCGAGTTGCAGGTACCCCAGCTACACCTTTTCACCATGATCAAAAAGTTGACTGTGAACGTCGATTTATTTTTGAAAAGTCCGCCAGACCGCTGATGTCGGACAAAATGGTGGTCAGCTGTCAGCTGACGGCAACGCGATGCGGATTGAATAATTTGACGTTTCTCGTTGGTCATGTCATTTGTTTGATTGACAGGTGGCGATACATTAATTCCCCGAACATATGGATCACTTTATGGCAATGTATGAAGAGGCTGCTGAAACACCCTATGGACAATTCATCATTGATCTTAAACCTACCACCAAAGATAAGGATCGACTGCAGGTCAATCTCATAAACGAGGAAAATGGGCAAGTCAAAGCTCAGTCTGAACCTGATCTGCCTAGGGACAAGTTGACTACAACAGAATCTCTGGATAGTCCTCTGACTCAAGAAGAGAGACTGCCCCAACATCAGCTGACTCAAATTGAAACTGATTCAGACACGAGTAGTGAGACATCATTGACTATGGCCACGGCTTGTGCAGATTGCGGGTGCTGATATATAACATGCACGATCTACAGTGACATATCAAACATTGCTGTCGAGCCAATAGCCTTCAACCTAAGAGAAAGCGCGCCAGACTTGAGAGTGATGACAATGACAGTGACTATGACGACCTAGCCTCTTCCCAGAAAGGCAGTGATCCTGCCGTCAAACCTCCTTGTGGGAAGCCAACATTCTCTGATATGGAAGCCGAGGAGTGGCAAAATGTAGGCTCACAACGCATCTGGAAGCAGGTGTAGATGGGTGTAGGTGTAGCAGGACAAGATGAAACTGCAGAGAAACGCGCTGAATTCAAACCAGGCTGACAAATACTGTCTGTCTATTCAGGTCAGCACATTATACATAGCTCTATTCATTACACTTTGCTTTTTTTCACGTCTTATAAAGGGTTTTCTACAAGATTGCATGACTGCATTAAAACAACCACCTTTCATCGACCTTTCCCGACCTGTGCCTTACAGCCTACATTTACCTATGCATCAGCTATGACCACGTGACTTGGATCAGCCAATGAATTTCCCTTAACCTCCCCTCAACAAAAAAGTACCGTCTTGTGACCTATGCTATACTACTCATGTCTTTCTGGAATGGGTGGAGACACAGCTACTTCCCGTTTACCTCTGAGTAAGGACTGGACAGTGCTCCCTACCACAGTCCACAAGACCAAAACAGAAAGGTGCCGACATCAGATTCCAGAATGGACGACATGATATCTTGACTGAAGTCACCTTAAATTCCATTTCCCATTAAGAGAACCAAAAGACCCTAGCAACAAACGACAGACCCCAGTTTTATTCATGAAGGTAGTGTATAAAATTATACAGTATACTTTGGTAAAAGACATCTAGCACTTAGGATCAGTTCATAGCTTAGGGTTGGAGGGGAGAGGGGGGGAGTCTAGTAGTTTTATTGTCTGTACTAGACAGAAACCTTTTGTCACCCTGATGACGTGAGAAGCAAAGAAAGACCTGTACATACACTGTATCTATATATAGATCATTACGCCAGGGAATGGGTATTTCCAGAGTTGAGGCGTGAGTTTAAGCGGGTTTTGATTACAATCTGTCAAAGGGGTCTTTGTGAGTTACGCATTGTATTCATCACAGTATCGGTGACTCCATGCACCGTAATCGTGTTTATAGGCATGCAACAGGTCACCTTTATAGTGTTGTCGAAGTTATACTATTTTTCTACGCAGTTAATGTAAAATAGAACTCTAACGCCATCTTTCAACATGCGTATATCTTATATAAATGACAACGTTCGGCTGTAACATTTCATCACAGTTAGACTGGCGTTTGTTCGTTTAGTTACCTGGCTGCTGTCGATTTTAATCGTCCATCTTCCAATCATCTAACAGTCAGAACAACATAGTTTAAGTAGATAAATTTACGCATAACCTAAATTGTATTTGGATTTTTTCGCATCATACCTTAATTAACCCAAACAATGTTGTTACTAACTCCAAATTCAAAAACACAACATTTTTACAAAAAGTAAAAATGGATACATGTAATGTGATACTGAAAAGATTCTTAGCGAAAGAAATCCAATTGTGACGTGACATGAATCAGGTGACAGCAGACGCTGTCCAACTCACAGTAGCATCCAGCCATGTTCAAGGTGTCAACAAACAAGGCAAGATGTGACAGATCCAACTACAACGAGGAATAAAGCAGAAAAAACACAAGTTTGAAACAATAACTCAGCTTAACTTTATTAATATTCAAGACTTGTAATCAGGAAGAAAAATAAAATAAGAGCACAATATAGAACAATCGGAGATAACTTGGTGGTATATGGTGTATAACGGCTATATACATAGCTAACATCTAACAATGTGTTATGTCTTTAGAATAACCCATTAAAATGTAGGCCATACTACAGTTCTCTAATTATGGGGTCGGGCGGAAATTACATTGTAAGTTATCGTTTTGTTGTTCCTTCACGTGATAAGTCCTTCTCTGAGTTGCCACTGGGTCGTTTGAATCACACAGAAAATGAACGCAATCCTTCAATGTGGTACACATTATTCCTTTGAAACAGACCCACTCTTAAACGTCATTATTATTTGATTGTCAAGATAATCTCGACATATTATCACTTTGTGCAAATGGATGGTAAATGTATCCAAACCCAAGATCGCTATCTCACGGATATCTCAAAAATGGATATAGTTTTGTGCCACTGAGATGGCAAATTACCTAAGTTTGCATTGTTATTTTTAAAAAATATAACCCATTATGTATGCTAATACACTGGCAACTTTTAACGTTCAAGGACGCTGCTCATGTGATGAACTGCTGACAACACCATCGCAATTGTTGTTAATTTAACCTCTGCCATTTGGTTGCAGCCATTCGTTAACTCTGCAAAAACAAACGAACCCAGAAAATATATACTGAAAAAATAAGGGATCAGATAAAATTCAGATCACGTCAAACATAACAGAGTCATTGTTTTCAGTTTATAAGAAGAAAGACAGTATTGGGTCTCACATAATTTCCACACACACACACACACACACACACACACACACACACACACACACACACACACACACACCACACACACACACACACACACACACACACACACACACCACACCACACCACACACACCTCACTCTCCGTGTTCTCACAACTGTCTTGCAACGTCTGGGCATACATCCAATCAAGTTAAATCTAGATATCATTCAGAGACAGATACGATCCTTTATTGTGTGCCTTCAGTATATTTTCGTGCCATGTAAGTAGGTTATTTAAACTTGATGTTTTATTTAAGAAGAACTGTAATAGGATTTGTGAGATCCCGTCAACTGTCTTTATCGCACATGCTTCATTAGGTTCGATTTTAAAATCATCAAATGAAATATATTTATACGACATGCTAGAAACGGTTTGCTGACCTGGTGTATCTGGCTGGTAAGTAGCATAAGAGACCGGCTGATCGAGACACTGGGGGCCCGTCCATCCGATCTCGCACCTTCTGCAGGTGCCCGAAGTCTGGTCACAGTCAAGACATCTGTACGGACACGCCATCTCGCATTTCTTGCCGTGGAATCCAGTCATACAACCATTTTCACACTGTCCTGCCATGTTACATGTAGTGTTCACGCAGTTCGCCGAACACTCAGACTGGCAGTCGGGGCCGTAAAGCCCTGCTTTGCACATGAGGCACGATGCTGAGGAGAACTGATGGCATTTCATGCAGTCAGCGCCACACCTCTCACTGCAGGCCTTCACCTGTCCAACCATCCTTGCAGCCATCAATGCACCGGCCAGACTTGTGTTTATTCAGACAGTTATGTTTATCACATTTACGTCCATGCCACCCTTCCATACAATCAGATATGCAGACACCGTCCTCCTGGTAACAAGCCTTCTTCTTACATCCTTGACCGCACGTTTCGTTACACGTGGACCCCCACCATCCTTCAGCACATCCTTCCAGACACTTGCCGCTGGTCCGGTGACAGTTCCTCACGTTGTCGTAGCTTAGACGGCAGGTAGTGGGGCAGAGTGTGTCACAACCCTCGGTGTATCGTCCAGGAAGACACTGATGACACCGCCCTGTCTGTTTATGGCAGCCCCCCAACCAGCAGCTGACACAGGCGTGTTCACACTGGTACCCCCAGTACCCATACAAACACTCCTCGCATGTGCCACTTTTACACAAAGTACACCTTGATTCACTGCAGACCTTCGCACTGGTTCCACCTGGAAGTATCAGATGAAAGAACATCTTCAACTAAATGTATAAACATTTAAACCGCACAGACTCAATTCAGTTGCTAAACAACTCTAATCTTTGAGAATCGACTTAAGGACCTACGACTGAACATTCCGAAAGGGTATTTGGTTAGAGATACGAACGGAGACGAAGGAGTATGTTTTCCGGACATCCAGCACAATCAGCCGACAAATTATTTGTTTGTAAAACTCGAGGATACACATTTTTTTATGTAAACAACGTTCCTGAAAGTAGTTGGATCAGCTTTCAAAGCTAAGGTACACTTACAGCAGACGAGCTGAATCACCAACACAGTGAAGAGTGTACTCTGAAATGATAAATGTGTCATAAAAGGAATCAGTGTTTCCATTGATTCAGGTGATGCATAAGACAAGAAAAATAAAACAGACTATATATTTCAAGTAATAACACGTGCGAGGCCAAGACAGGTAAACAAACCAATGAAATAGGTTACCTTGACATTATTAAACAATAACAGTTTTATTTATCGTACTTGAACCTGACCTAACAAACATGTCAACCTTGCACTCGACCAATCAGGGAGTAACACTACAATTACAGTGGGTCACACACATACCGCGTCACAACAACTGTCGTGTTGACAGACGACACAACTCGAAGTGTTAACTATTAAGCGCAGTACGGGTAGCAGTTGTTGGCCGCTGTGATATCTCTACAGACATGTACCTTACACATCTAGTAATGTGCAGGTATTCCGGTTTTCACAGATCTTGTTTGAGTTGGTTCTGCATAAAACAAAGGACATGACGTTATCATAGAATCTGTAATTAAATAAACAGGTCTCCAGAGATACATGCTCCATCACTTATATGCTTACTCTTACTGCAAATCATATATCATATGCAAGAAACAAGAACAAATTGTGTGAAGTTTTACTGTCCACGATAAACAGATCCATTTTCTCAACTCACAGATACCCAGCGTGCCACAAGCTGCTGGCGAAGTCTTCCTCCGGTGACTATATTTCCGGGGTTGAGAGTAGTAGCTCAACTAAGAGAACGTGGGTATGCTTTCACGCCAAATTCAGCAACATTCTAGGTATATCACGGCGAGGTACCCCAGAAATGAGCTTTACACAGTGCGACCATGTAGGAATCAAACCTGGCTCTTAAGAGACCAGGATTATTCCATCGCCCACTGAAACAAGACAACATCATCATTAAACATTGCAGTCTTACATTAAACAATAACAACATCAACAGTAAACATTGTGCAAATACATACAAGCACAACAAATATTACTAGTTAACAGAAATGTACGTCATTTTAGATCTACACATATTACCTTCAATATTCTACTAGATAATGCCAGTAGTCAGTCAGTAGTGACACCTCCAGATTACCCAACCTGCCCCGACGCGCAGTGAGGGCAAAATATTGACATATATCTGCAGTCGTTGTTTAAAACTAGCTGACATCAGATAAGCTCCGCTCATACATGACTTTTAGTACACTTAAGCCTAATGAGCGTTACAAGGTTCTACATACGTATATGTTTAGATTCGTGTTATGTGTTGCTGAATATGTGATGGTGTTGTACTGTAACAGTGAGTGTAGAAACCTGGAACCAGAGGCCTTCATTGCATATTGTCAACACAACATATTCACACGCGATAGCAAGGGTAATACGTGTCATGAAATCATTCCCATGCAGAAAGAGATTAACACAAACCAAATTATTGAAATTGTCGTGATAATGAAGAGTTATGTTCAAGCAAACAAGTTTATGGACATATGCTGTGTGCATTGCTTCACGTCTAACATTCGGGTAACCTACAAGTTATGTGCCCTTGGCATGTACCGGGAAGTAATCGACAACTCGTCAGTGTATATGATAATGTTCACAATAATATGATGATAATAATATGATGAAAGCAAGGAATTCCACAGCTGTTTCAAGCGTGCCAAGGTTGTTGGACAGATTCTGAAATTTGAGGTTGATTTTGTTGACCTCCTGACAGACGCCCGGGGGTAGCGAGGTGCTGATAGTGAATTTTGTTTTGCGGCCATCTATCTAATCCTTCTAAGTTTCCGCAAGGCTAGCTGTTGATCATCATTTCGTTACACAAGTCTATCTTCATAGTAAATTGTCTGTTACAGTCTGTATCTCGGTGGTATTTCTGGTATTTCTGCGAATGAACTTTCACATGTGTCGAGAAATATTTCAATAGTAACACCCTTTGATTTCTATTTCACAACTTTACAGGTACAATCGAGCATGCTATTTCTAAGAAGAATCCAATAAGCGCCATACGACTCATGCTGAAAGGTTTACTCAATGAAGGTTACAATAGTCAAGGCCTCGGTAAAGCTTTCAAACGTCTTATGGAACACATGTGCGGGACGTTTGCCAGTTTGATGCCTAAGTAACCAAACAATTGACTTGCCTTTTCATATGTTAGAGACGGTTTCACGAGAAGCAATATATATGCTTACCTCTTGTAGCATGGCAGCTTAAAAGTGATTCATAATGTATTTGACCAAGTATTTCGTCAAAATCATGGGATGGGATTTGTTTTCATCACTTATTGTGGAAATGGTCATTTTATTATCAGAATCTGTTTTTCGTGCTCTTATGATACAAACACAAAATTATTTCAAACGTTTTGTGGAAGAATGTGGCGGCTATTTGCAGATTTCATGCCTCAGTAACCAAAATATTCCTTAATGCAATTCACTATTTTGACCATATGTTTTTGTCTTTTCCAGTGAACGGCTTGCCTTTGCACGTGTTAGTGGATATGAAGATTTAGTGGCTCTCAATATGGAGTTGAAGTATATGAACATCTTTATACAAGGACAAGACCATAACCAAGTCTCAGTATTGAGACATATAAAACCACGTGCAGTCCATCCGGCGATTACATCATTTATTTATATCCAATGACTATTTACAAAGACAACTCTACAGCAATACGAGCCGTCAATAAATGCTATAAACTGGGGCAAAATACCACAGAAAACATTCAGCTAAAGCCACGCAACAATTCAAAGTAATAGAGATGAATGCAAGAAAAATGTACAATTTGGAACAAAGGCTCCAACAGGTGTGTGTGTGTGTGTGTGTGTGTGTGTGTGAGAGAGAGAGAGAGAGAGAGAGAGAGAGAGAGAGAGAGAGAGAGAGAGAGAGAGAGAATGAGAGAGAGTGTGTGAATGAATTTATGTATTACGCATTTGCATCACGTTATGTATGTGTGTGTAAGAATGGACGAGTTGCTCTCCGTTCCTGAATTTTCGATTTGAATGACCCAGTTGACTGTTTTACGCATTTGTATCACGTTATGTATGTGTGTGCAATAAGAATGGACGAGTTGCCTCCCGTTCTTGCACCATGCAAGCGAACTCTGGGTGAGTGAGTGAGTGAGTGAGTGGAGTGAGTGAGTGAGTGAGTGAGTGAGCGAGCTTTACATCGGATTCAGCAATATTCCAGCTATATGGCGGCGGTCTGTAAATAATCGAGTCTGGACCAGACAGACATCCCAGTGATCAACAGCATGAGCATCGATCTACGCAATTGGGATACAAGGACATGTGTCAACCAAGTCAGCGAGTCTGACTACCTGATCCCATTAGTCGCCTCTTACGACAAGCATGGGTTACTGAAGATCCATTCTAACCCGGATCTTCACGGGTCCTATATGAACATACAAGAATCACTATGTGTCAGGACCGCACACAGTGACAGAAGTGGCGGCGTTGGTGCCCCCGCGGGCCACGTAGCCTAACCAATAACTGAGGGTAAGACCATCTTCGTTTTTTAATTTACAGAATGTTAATGTCAGGACTAGCTTCTTATAAGTCATGGCAATTTTGGCATTATAGACGTGTATATGTCATGGCTATTGGGATATTTTTATTATTTAAATAATTAACCTTGGGAATTAAATGTTCGTTCAGACAAGGTTTGTTCTAATCATGTCGCCATGACAGTCTCTTATACCCTACTGTCAGTATGTATCCTCCAGAAGGTACACATATATGCACCAGGCTAGGCTTTCCAATACAACTTTCTCAACTTTGAAGACGTTTCAAGGTTTGGGAAATATCTTTCATACAAAGTAGAATTACACATGCAAATTTTGAATTATACAAAACAATTTGAATTTATCTGACCATAATAAAATTATTAATGTAATCGAGTTATTCCTATAAACGATTGAATGCTTGACGTTTAAGGCCAGCTATATATGTCGCTAAAAGTCAGTGTAATCAAGACATGGATCACTGGCTACAGGAGACAGGTATCCACGCGGGGTTGTTGAATTACATGCAGCTCTACTTTCATACGCCACATTATCCACCAGGCAACAAGCTTCTTCCATAAGAGTTCGGTCTTCTCCTTGATTCCCACGTCGCGCCTGAAATCCAGTATGATCCGTCCATGAGCTCTCCGACTCGTTCCACTTCCAGTCAAATATTGGCAAGGAGTTAGCCCTCTGTAGGGATGTTTTGAACATATGCAAATGTCCAGTCTTGTGCTCTCTTGACCGTGCGGTGTGACACATAGCAACTGGGGAAGGTGGAGGTTGACCGCGTATTCTGCACGTGTTGTTGCTGCTGCTTGCAACGACCCCATCACTTTCATCCATGTCATCTTCGTTGATGTCGTCATAAGCATTTGCAGACATCGGTACGTCTGGCAGTTGTCTACCTTGGGGACTTAGCAAGCGCCTGTTGGTCCTGATGGACGATGACGTACATGATCTGGAATTATACAGAAACATCACATGAGTTCTGACCAGGAAGAAACAAATAGTATCATAAAAAAACAGGATATTTGATGTTTCATAATGTACAGATATCGGCACAAAAACAGTCCAATTTGAGGTACCTTCTAATGAGGAAAGCTACTGTTCCAGAAACCAGCAGCAACACCACAGATCCTATGACGTAGTTCACAGACGGTGTCATCTGGACGTCCCCGTCCTTTGTATCCAGCGTCGGTTCTAAAAACAGAAATAGGATTCCTTATACGTATTGTTTAATTCGTCAGGCAAAATTATTCCAAGTAGAACATATCGTCCTGTAAATAATCGAATCTGGTCCAGGCAAACCAGTGACTGATCTTATAAGCTAGGATCAGTACCACCTGGGTAAGACGCTTTACCAGCCAAGTCACACTGCCTGAGTGAGTGAGTGAGTTCATATTTAACATCACATCGGCAATATCTCAGCCATATCGTGACGAAAACAATTTATACAATAAATAATGAAAATATTTTTAAGAGTAAAACCTGTCTATAATGGACAGTAAAACACTAGAGTATCACAGATATGAACATAAAACTAGCATATGAAACTAAAACATTTTAATTAAAGAAGACAATACAATATAAAACACGGGATATAGATCGCCAACAACTGAAGGGAGATCACCATACTAGGAACCATGGGGACTTACATTACTTTTGCTTTGCTACCCTAGCTGCATGGATCCCTTAGCTGGACTTAATAGTTTGGTAGTGCTAAATTGACCTTGAAGTTTTGGGACGTACGTACCCTCTCATGAGTATCATACACTCGATTCCCAATCACAATCCACTCCAACAAAAATAATAGGTGTTAATGGAATCACCGAAGAATCTTTCACCTGATCATTTTACAGAACTTATCTCAGGTTGAGGATTTTTTTACACACACACATCGTTAGAATTAGTCTTACTTCTTAAAAACGTAAACAAATATATTTGATGTACAGAGTGTACAGTATGGGGTACAGTATACCAACGTGCCTCCTGTACAAAATAATACAAATTCGATATTCAAATGATTGATTGAGTTCATATTTACGCCGCTTTCTTAACAATATTCCAGCTATATCACGTCGGGGGACACCAGAAATGGGCTTCACACATTGTACCCATGTGGGGAATCGAACCCGGATCTTTGGCGTGACGAGCGAACGCTTTAACCACTAGGCTACCCACCGCCCGATATTCAACTGTGATGTGGAGAAATGAGTATAGTTTACAAGATATAAGCTTAGTCCAGTGAGCTAACATTACACATGAACGGAAATTGTCAGACAAGTTTACTTGCTTGCTTTGGTACGAGTTACTGGGGACAGATAGCTGTTCTACAAGCTTCGTGGCGTTTGTAAACTTGTGCTAACCATACATTTGTTATAGATATATTTTCCACTGTAGTAATATAACGCTATGAACGCATGGTGGATCGGGCCACTTCCCTGTTTCACACAGCAGTTGTAACGCTACGTACCCAGTACTTTCCCAGAGGGTTGAATCGCTGACTTTGTGTGATGACGATAAGGTGCCTGACTACGAGAGTGTGGATTCGAATCCCGGATGGGACCAAACCCGCCCCGCCCAAAAGTACAAAAAGTACTAGAATCTGTACTTCACTGAGAAAGTGTAATCCCAAATATACTTTATGGTACGTGCAAACACTGCTGTAACATTAAAGGTAATGTACAAACCTAATCACCTACACAATAGGAAATGGCATTATTAAGTTTAAACACTAACCTGGTTGTATTTCATCTGCGAGGCATAGTCCGTTCTCCCGGTTACAGACAGAGCAATCCCCTACACACGACCTGTTGCAGAGAAAGCCGTAGTGTCCATCGTTGCAGCCGTTGATACAGTAACCTGTTTTCAGATCACATACACGTTGACGACATCCGTCACTGCACTGCTCATCACAGTCTTGTCCATAGTAGCCCGATGTACAGCCAGCTAGACACCTGCCTTGGGCATCACACAGTGCTCCTTTACAGTTAGTGGTACATCGGAATTCACATCTTGCTCCAAAGTGGCCTTTTTCACACCCATGCAGACAGACACCAGAGGAACGATTACAAGCACGAAAGGCACAGTTCTCGTTGCAGCCAAACTGGCATTTCGGCCCAAAGTTTCCATTAGCGCAGGCAACTGATTGATGATCATCTCTGCAAGTACCATCCATATGGCATCCTTCAGTGGGACATGTTTCTCTGCAGTTGGAACCACAAGATGATCCGTAAAGAAACGCTCTACATTTTGTGCATGTATTATCTAAACACTGTAGACAATCAACAGGGCATTCGAAACTGCAAGTACTTCCCCAGTATCCTGAGATACAGCCATCAGTACAGTTTCCTGTACCGAATCCAGAGTCGGAGCATCTGTTGCTGACGCATCCTCTGCTACATCTGTACCCACAGCTCCGGCCATAATACCCATCTTTGCACCCCTGGGAGCATATATCCTTGACACAAAAGTCAATGCAAACAAACGTTAATCATAAACCTTTGCATCGAGATCGTTGGCAGTGTGTGTGTGGGGCTTAGGTGTTGTGTGAGTCTGAAAAACATGCAGGACTTCATAATTTACTAGATTTTGCAACTTTACAAAACATGATATTTATTGTACATCTTATTAAACGTATTCTACATTGTCAGCACGTATACAGACCTGTTAACAGACGTTCATGGACTGTCGACAAGAGTACTCATACTTACATGCATCTTCTAGTTTGTTCAACAGAAATGTATTTGTCTGACTCATTACGGAAAAAAGGTTGACACGATTTCGCTCGCTGATTCCTGTAAACAAGGATCTGCAACTATCGTGGTGTGTCTAAATGAATTCAGAGAGAATGTATTAATTGTGCAGCCTGCTTTGTAACTTTGACAGTCTGCTAGGATTTTTTAGGCCTTACATATTAATATTTGTATGCTAATTGATAGAAATTTAATACAAAGCCACTATTGCATGAGGTAATTATACATTACACATTTCAATCACGTTCTAAACATAAACCGTCAAGCGATAAGAACAGCTTCGACACACTTGTGACTAGTCAAAACGTGTGCTTATTTTGTTTAATTTAAACCAATAAACCAAACTCATTCACTCACTATAGCCCATGAACATTATTGATGTTTTAAATTATCATAACTTATAAATGACACTGAAGGAATCCACACACACAGTTCGTTTAGGGGAAATCGAAACGAATGTCTTAAGATCCGTCATGTATATGGGTAAATAGAATGAATCCATCATCACATAAAATATTTGTTGTTTGTTGTTTAAAGCCGCACTTGGCAATACTACACCCGAGCTGATGACAGTCGGTAAATAACAGCCCAGAACAAACAATGGCGTGATTCATATCATGAGCATCGATCCACGAAACATGGATACGATGACATCCCACGGACCTGGTCACAAATTGTTGTCTGATAGATGCCTCTAGTTACGGCAGCCCTTTGTTGCTGAAGACCAGTTATAAACCGTATCTTCAAATGCCATCTTCCATGTTCCAGGACAGTAGAGTTGAGTCCAGCAGTGCCAACAGCAGTACAGTTCGTCAGATGTTTCATTCACTTGTCGTATTTTGTGTGTTTGTCTGTAGTTTAACAATCAGCAATACTGATTGATTGGTTAACGCCGCAATATTCCAGCTATATGACGATGGTTTGTGAATAACCGACCCTGGACCAGACAATCCAGTGAAGCACATCATGAGCATCAATGTGTGCAACTGGGAACCGATGACATGTGTCAACCCAGTCAGCCAGCCCGTTAGTCGCCTCTTACGACAAGCAAGGGTTACTGAAGATTCTAACCTGAATCTTGGCAGGTTTAATCGCATGTAGATTATCGTTATTACTGTCCATGATCTCACTTTGTGGGCCATCTTGACCGGTTGCAGCCACCGATACAGACGCCGGATACCCAGACACGTGTGCCTGGCGTGCGGACCCTTGTTCACTGTGTCATACCGCATACTGTACAAGTCGTTTCTACAACCCGAAATACAGTCCATGTCTTCCAGATAAACGGTAAATTTTCACCTGTATCACACATGACTGCATTCCGCTTGCTCTCTCCCCACAAACTTTCTTTACACCTCTCCAAACACCTGCCTTCTGAAAACCTTCAATCTGTGACTCTTGTCGTCGCTTGATCATTGCTGTCACAGCATTCTACATACATTGCTCTGGGCTACACTGAACATATCCACCCGTGTGTTTGTGGCACAAGGTACACAGGCGGAACTCTAGTACACATTAGCACTCTCTACAATGGCTTCTGAAGCAGTCTGAACATTTAATGTTTATTTCATTCTTTGTCGATATTCCACTCCTTGCACAAATAGTAATTACGATAAGCCCAATACGGCATGCCACATACTTCAGCATGGGGTTTATATGAACGAGTTATTAGGATTGGGAATAAGAAAATAAGATCAAAGAAATAAATGAGGTTTACCTGTAAGGATAATTATGACAGCAACCACAAACTAACAATACTGAATAACGACATTAATATTAAATTTTCATTTAAAAGTTAAGCCCTTGTGCAAAACAGAAAGCAATGCAAACCAGACGCATGAACACTTACCAGGTTGGAGTGTTTGTATACATGCATGTATATGCTGGTTTCGATCATAACTGAACAATTAATTTAAATGGATTAGAATAATTAAGCGATACCATTACTATCGTTGTTTTCTACACAGTTGTAGCACACACACTAATTGAAAGTCAAAGAAAGATGACGTGTTGGATCGGATTCAGTTCAAATCGACATTATAGGACACTATTGATGAGCACGGACTTTGCACTGATTAAGTGTCACGCACCCAAATAATTCATTTTCTTGCAATGGTCTGCTTACATATTCTGTCGGACAACATGAATATTTTGAGTATTTGAAAGGCAAGGGTAAACACTGCTGTGAATTATGAAGAAAGAAGTGACTGACGAACATAAATGTCAGGGTTGACTTTTGACGTCACTGTATTCATATACATCCCAGTTTGCAATGCCAAATACACGTAGTCATGACAGAAATAGAAGTCCAACAGAAGCTTTCATGTAAAAAAATAATTAAAATTCAGGCTTTCGAGTTGTACGGTACGCCAAAATTCAACATGGACACATACTAATATTCATACGAACGTGCAGTCGGTGCATGTTAATATTTTGCCGTTCCAAGAACAGAGACTTCATATATGAAACAGAATGATGAGGAACCGGCTTAGGGCTGTGACCAATGGCTGTTATGTACTGTTCATGAAATTGTATGAAGTAAGATAAAATGATCTTATCAGATGCAGAATAATTTCATTTAACGTTCTACATCATCAATTCCAAAACTCAAGCACCTTATATAGTTGTATACTGAGCAGGAGGTGCAACCTGGTTGTCTGCAACGCGAACACTGAGTCGTGATGAGAGAAATATTTCCTGTTGCTTGCAGTCGACACACTCTCGAAGGTCGTAGTGATACTTCCAATGTCAACCCTAAGATAAGAGCAACAGCAAAAACGTGATTTACAGCACTACACGCCAGCTCAAGAGAGAGGAAAGCCTGCAGTGTTGCAGGCCTTAAACGTTTACAACTGAACATCCATGAGTCTGGTACTGACAAACCTAACACGCAATCAACGAATACTGAATTCAATCCCTTTCCATGTGGAGCTCTGCTCCTGGCCGTTCGTGTCTTCTGCATGTCCATGTTGATATCGTAAACCTCCACTGATTGTAATAGTGATGAATTGCCCATCGATCTATAAGGACATGAAACCTTTTGTTTTCGCAGACAATTTTATACATTTGTTTCTCATATGAAACAAATGCATTGACCACTAAAACGATCTGATAAAGGAAACGTATTGTTTCAGTATTTGAAGCCGTTTATGTTTGACATCGGTAGATTAGACATGCAACAGTTACTGCTTTAATTTTCTCTACTTTTTCCTTTACTTTTTCTACAAGTTATTAGGACATGAACATACTTGCGTTCGTGGTGTTTCGGATATTATCTTAAGATAATAAAAGAATAAAATACCTACTACACACTATTTTGAACATATACTTATGTACGTTCATACTTTGGGTTCTATTGACATATTCATATATTCCAGTCAACATGTCGGATATCCGTAGATGATTACACAATGCCATTTGGAAAGTGGTCAGTTGTAACATACATGTATGTTATATTTGGGATTACACTTTCTTAGTAAAGTACAGATTCTAGTACTTTTTGAGCTGAGTCCCATTCGGGATTCGAACCCACATCCTCAGAGTCAGGCACCTAATTGCCAGCACACAAAGTCAGCCGCCTATCCCGCTCAGCCACCGCGACTTCCACAAAAATGGAAGTGGGACAACTGGTAGTCTAGACTGCGGACTTTGTGTACCCTTCTGATAAGTGTTAATTGGCACGGCTCCCACGACCGAAAGCTATGATTACACAATGCCATTTAGAAAGTGGTCAAATGTAACATATGTTATATTTGGGATTACACTTTCTTAGAAATCTTTACTAAGAAAGTGTAATCCCAAATATAACATATCCTAATACGACCTCATCGTGCCTTGACGTACAACCCAAGTAGGCATAACCTAATTCATGAAGTTTATACCTGCTTGGGTGTTCCACTTTGTTTGCATCAGTTCCCTGATGTAGAGTGTTTGAAATCAGTGTAAGGAACTTGAAGTGGATCGACAGATTTCTCAAGAGATGCCTTCACTGCTGCATCAGCTTTTCTATTACCAGCCATGCCAACATGACTTGATAACCAACAAAAGACTATGTCGAACAGGCCAGTAGAGAGTTCACTGTAAAGTTCTAAAATAGCGAGTATGAAGTGCCTAAAGACAGGAGAGGGAATCAGGGAAGATGATAAATTGCATATGATTGGATTGATGCTGAGTGTATTCCAAGGCTATCTGGATAGCCCTGGCTTCCGCAGTGAAAATTGAACTGTTATCAGGAATCCTGGTAGGCAATTTTTTTCATCCAACGACAGTGGCACTTGAAACAATGTCCCCATCTTTTGATCCATCTTAAAATTAGAACGATAAGTATCATATGCAGTTTGTTACTTTATATATTCCTGTTTATATATTAGTGGATTAGTGTCAGATTTTTTAGCGAAGGAAGATCTACTCCAGGCCTTACTAGTTGCCAGGGAGGAGATGGAGAGGTTATATCCAAGTCGATTTTGGCATTGGTAATATGGGGCTTGATCCAAATTCCAACTGGCGGGACTAGTTTAGGTTTACTTTGAAACAAATCCTCATAATGGGGATGAAACAAACAATTATAGGCTGGATTGGTTGGCTTTGAGCGTAACTTAGTTACATACTGCAGGGACAATTTTAAACGACGTTGTTTGAGGGAGGGTTCGTCAGCTTCCACGAAAACACTTTCCACAGGCGATGTCCTGAACACTCCAAGGTAGCGTCTAAGTCTCGATGATGTATGCTATTTAGGTTTGTTTAATTACTTTTGGAAGCTCCGCCATAGACGATCGAACCGTAATGTAGTTTAGATCGAATAAGGGATCTGTACATGTGAAGAAGGGTTGCCTGACCCCGCCCCACTTAGAATTAGCAACAACTTTGAGTACATCAAGGGCCTTCAAGCACTTTTTAGGTATTTTGTATGAGATTAAAATGTTAAATGATGGTCATAAAATAACACCTAAGAATTTGGTCTCTTCCACAACCTTAAAAAGGTGTTGCCATCTAAAAATAATTCTGGATCTTTATGCGATCGATAATGCCTATTAAAAATGTATGCAATTGGTTTTCGTTTTAGAAACAAAAACATTTCTGGATTTGATTGAGACACGGCTGCAATTGTCTTTCAATTGTGCGCATATCTTTGCACGACAAGATATGTTAAAATCGTCAATAAAAAGTGATCCATCAATGGAGTCATTTAATACCTTAGACAGGCTGTTTATTTTGATGCGAAATAACGTTGCAGATAAGATACTACCCTGTGGGACACCGGTTTTGACTCTGAGACACCCATGGCACCCGAAGAAAGGACATGTCAAATATGTGGAACTCGCTAAAGAAATTTTACGCCTGCATCGCAAGTACCAAGGTGTCCGACTCCCCATTGTTCTCGGTGCCTTGGTTTGGTACCTCCTGATTTCTTGGCGCAGACCAGGTAAGTGTCAGGGTTCTTCACCGGGAGCACAGCCCTGACACTCTATGGAAAGAGCATCTGGAATGATGGAGAGTCTTCATATTCTCTGAAAAGGTCTTGGTGGGTTTAACTTGAAAGCGCTTAAATGGACCAAGGCTCCTGAACTGATGACGAGCCCAACTAGGCTGACTCCCAGGATCACCCGGACACCAACAGCTATATGTATTTATTTCAGTCTGTAAATATTCATAGCAATAATTAATCACTGTTTGCCTGTACGTATTGATTCACTGGTCAAGATTGAAATAATTTCCTCGAACCAGAGTTCGCTTGTCAGGATATGTGTTTCCTGCTCCACACTTTTAAAATGAGTTTCAATTTCCTCCTGCAAAACACATCATACTGATATGTAGCGTTCACGGCTATTCGGAACTACTTACATGCAACATTTTACTTGAGGTAAGTGTTGTTACTAATAATATATAAAATGTATGTGTAATCGTGGAGGACATTTTCATTTATTCTTTATGAATTTAGCATTTAATGTCATTATGTCTATTTACAAACATATACATTGTATTGTATTGTGTCATGCATTTCGGGTTCACTTTCACAATACCTGAAACACAGACCGTGGTGTAGCCACCATAATCTCTTCAAAATAGAAATATGTTTTTCAGGATGATTCTCGCGGCAACGGTTTTCATCATAGCCGCCTTGATTGACATGCCATCGATTGCTTTAAGCAGTAAGTTACTTATTGTGCTCCACAACCAATGACGTACACATTAGAGCACTGTAATGGGTGTAATGGATGTAACATTTCCTGTAACTTTGTGCCATTTAAAAGCAACTAAAACGTATAATTACCTTAAAATTTACATTGAAATCACTTTATGTGACAGAGCTTGTGGTCTGTTTCAGCCCACTGTGTAGAGGGAAGTCACTGCAAGGACGATAAGTGCGGGGATCTTGGGTGTTTGAATGGATGCGAGGAAGGCTACTTTGGCCCGCACTGTACAAACAACTGCAGTTCTGGATGCAAGGACGGCACATGTGATTCTTCAGGAAAAGCTTGTATCGGCGACTGCATAGACGGTCGGTGGGGCACAGTTTGTAGGCTGACTTGTTTCAGTTCATGCAAGACATGCGCTAAGGACAATGGTTCGGACTGTACATCATGTGAAGAATATAGATACGGCCCACAGTGTGGACAATCCTGTTCTTCCAAGTGTCCCAACCGTGGCTGTGATGTTAACGGAAGGTGTAAAAGCAGATGTGGCGACAGATGTAAGGTTTGCAATGATGTTACACAAGAGTGTGATGGATGCAAGCGTGGTACGTTTGGCCCTGTCTGCCAGTGGAGGTGTAATGTTAACTGTGCTGATGAGATATGCCATCAAGAAACAGCAAACTGTTCGATTGGATGCAAAGATGAGTATTTTGGACCGAAGTGTGAGTACCGGTGTAATGAACAGTGTTTCCAGGGTAAATGCGAGCAGGGGACGGGGATGTGTGTACAGGGATGTAGACGAGGATACTACGGACCTCTCTGTATATTGCCTTGTGATTCATGCCTGTCCGATATTTGCGATAATTCGTCTGGAGAATGCTTGAAAGGCTGCAAGATGGGCTTCTTCGGCAAGGGATGCAAGAACAGATGTGATGATAATTGTATCAGCGGATATTGTTCCAGATTCGATGGTGTTTGCTATCAACCCGAAGGTAAATAGACAAATATATTCTGAGGTGACCGTCTCCATGTTCTCTTTAACGGTGTGATGGTTACCTAAAACCAATTACGTTTAACGATTCAGTCGGTGTGTGTGCATGCTTGCGTTTGTGTTGATGCGTTTGTGTTAAAGCCTCACTGACCAATATCCAAACTAAATGAAAACGACCTGTACAGAAACCTAGTCTGGACCAGGCTATCAAGTGATTGATATTATGAGTAACGATCCACACCATGCCATCAGCACTGTGACCGAGCCTGATCATCCGACCCAACACAGGTTGCTAGGTACAAATTCTAACACGGTGTCTGTCATTTTACTTCCAGTTCCTGTAGCTCCCAACTCCACACCCGGAATGTCCCATGGCAGCAATTACTGGATGTACATTGTCGGGGGTTGTATCGGGATCCTTCTATGTTCTGCAGTGTGTTTCCTGGTCTTTAGGTATGTTATTTATATTATGTGTCTACAAGCTGTAATACTGACAGCTTAATGTTCAAGACGCGCCACACACTGATTACAGTCACTCAGCTTCTACTCATTCTGGGGGTAATTTCCATCAATGTGTGGGGTATTTTCTGTCTATTACATGTAGTTACGGTAGAATACATCACTAAATTTTGTCATGTTGAATTTTACACTTGCAATGAAACTGAAATCCAAAAGTAATCATCATGGATTTTGTCAGAAATAAACTGCGCATGTAAAAAACTATTTTAAAAGTCCTTTTTGTTTTGTTTGTCATTTTCCATGTTTTGACTTAAGCTAAATACAGTATCCGTTTCTTACAGGTATGGTGGCCGCATTCGTGGTAGCCATCAACGAAGAGGTAGGTTCCGACAAAGTACGCCTCTACCGCCTGTACCGCCTGTACCCATCCCGCATGATGACCTGTATGACGAGTTGGATGTTGGACACTCGGACACCGATAGCAGACCGTCGGGATTGGACGAGGCAGGAAACGCGCATGTTGACTTGCCTGGAGATATGTCCAGTATGAGTGATGATAAACACAACAGCGATTCAGTGAGGGTCAGTGCTTTCGGAAATGTTTGCCCGAAGTTTCCTGGTCAAGAAACTAAGAGCGAGATGCCTCATGTCCAGATGACATGGTTGACGGAGACAGGCCCTACTGCTGTAGAGGCCAAGGGTCCTGACAAAGCCGCATCCATTGATGTGACATGCGATAATACATCCACTCACCTTGATGAGGGACTTCACTTCAACCCATCTTACACGAGTCTGGGTGGTAGGTCCAGACCTTCGAGAAATTATTTATCTCCAGTCGAGGAATATATTAAAGCGTAACAACCCTTATGTAGTTTCACCTCAGACCTGAATGAGCAGGACATGTTTATACGGCAATATGAAACTCAAGACGATATTCACGTTTCAAACTTGTTGTGCATTGCATATCTGCTTCCCGCTACATATCCTTGTAACCCATGTGTGTATATATACTTTAGGAAGTGAGAGGACATTTCCTATTAAGGGTGAAAGGGTGTTGTGATTCATATTATCGTTATCCCAACACGGGTACGGTCAAGGCAAGCATAATCACTGAATCATTCACTTCTCCAAACTAAATTTGTCCTTCAGTGGATTTATACAACTGTACATTGCAACAAGGATGATATTGTGAGATTGCTCTGATGTGAATGGCCCACATTTCAAAAGTTTCAACGCATCTGCATTCACTCATTCCTTCAAGTGATTGATATTCTGAGCAACTACCCACGCTATCGAGGTGCAATGACAGAACCAACCAAGTCGCCGAGCTTGTGGACATTTTCTTCGACTCAGACGTCAGACGAGTGCTAGGGAACCAGCATAACACGGGTTCCAACTAAGCATTCTCACCTGTCGACTTTACAGACAATACCAGCGCCTTGAGCATGTACTAGTTGCGTTGATATGTGCGCTATATAAATATCATATAATAAAAATAAATGTTCCAGGGTTGATGTATCTTCCTGCATGGATATTCATGGATAATAAATTATGTGGCAATAACTAAATTCTGATACATGTGCGTGTGAATGATTGTAATGAAAGTCAGATTTGGGAGACACCAATGCTGTATCATACATGTGACTGCACATTGGTAAACAGTCTGTGAGAGGAGCGGATGTGAAGCATGTCCGCCTGTAAGTCTTCCTGTCGGTATATGCCGTGGCGGGTGAGTCTGCCCCGGTACAAATTCCCAAGCTTCCGTTTGTGATCTCTCACTGGTTTACTGGCTATAAATATTTGCCCTTCTTTTGTGAGATGTTTTAAAATAAACAAATCCCGTGTGTTTTGAGTGAATCATCACTCTATATCGAATACTCATACGGGGTGTTTTATTTCCTGGTGATGGTAATGTAGAATGTTCTCTCACTAATGACAGCGTCAGGTACAAATTCTTTATGCAGAAAGGCTACAATCACATGTGTTTTATCACACGTTAACTCTGTCACACAATGTCCATCGATGTTGATATGGAGACATATCGGGGATCTAATCGTATCAACACAGGAGACACCGGTTGCAAGGAATACTGCATGCTCTTCATGACACTGGTGTTATGGTGATTCCAGATTAACCTGTCACTTCCTGGTTGGGATGTATGACAATGACAATTCAATACCGTGAGGGAATTCTTGTGTAAAGAACAGAGCTCAAACATTGATAAAATGATTAAATTATTTTCATACAATAAATAACACACATATAACCCGCTAACAAGGTAAGACAAACACTAGGAATCATTTAAAAGATTAATATTGGCGGGAACAAAGGATTTCATGGCACGATTGGATTTAAAACGGGGTACATTATAACGGCGCCCAGAAGGCAGTAACTTATACTCGTATGTATGTGAGATATCAAACAATTATTGTCTGGTGATCATCAATCTTGACGTGTGATGTCGTGTGTATGCAGGTGTTTGTCGTGTGTGTGTAGTATTAGTTCTACTCGTTCCTAAAACACTAGAAGTGCACGTGTGTAATGGCATTATGTCATCAGGGTTGGTGAGAACGCCATGAAGAGTTAACACATCAGCAGTACCAATAGTGGTTGTAACTGTAATTGTTACTGCTATCACGTATCTGCCCAAAAATGAAGGGTTGAGTTGCAACAGACCTTCAGCAACTCATGCTTGTCGTAAGAGGCGACGTACAGGATCGGGTGGTCAGGCTCGCTGGCTTGGTTGTTTCATAACATCGTATTCCAGTTGCGTAGGTCGAAGCGTGTGATGATCACTGGATTATCTGGTCCAGACTCGATTATTTACAACCCGTCGCATATATCTCTAGAATTGCAGGGTGTGGAGGTAAACAAACAAACTATCCATTACAGAAACTCAGTTGTGAAGGAACACGTAACAGAGTGGGAGGAGTGGCCTCCCTTACTAAGGTACTCGATCTTGTTATTATTCACACTTCAGAGCTTATGGTGGTTCGTGGAACACATATACTTATTATATAACCCTTTCAATGCTAAGGTAACGTGTTTCACTGTTGACGTGATACAATTACAAAGGTCCTCAGATCGACACAGTCGCTCACTGACATTCACCGTACATGTCTCAAAGAGGGTAAATTATTTTTGTTCATATTGAACTGGGATTTGTGTATGAAATGATAACAAAACACTACTAGAACTAGAAATGATATACGTATTTGTAAAGATCTAGATTCAAGTTATGTTACGTAACTTTTATGACTTTAAAGAGATGTATCCTAGAAGAAATATACTACTCCCACTATATATAAGAGAGAGGGAGAGAGAATATAGAATCCCTCTTGTTTATGACAATTCGGTACAGTTGAATCTTGTTCACGGGATTCTGCATAAGAGTCAGAATGTTTGTCTGAATGTCAATGATAGAACATCTCCGTTATCCCGTGGAACAATACGACCTAAGCTATTGACTACCTAATCTGACAGGCAACAACATTCTACATGCCTTATTCCTCAGTCAGAAGTGGAATTACATCAGTACATCTTTATATTTACGTCTGTAGTTCACACAGTCATAAGCTTGTGAAGATTCCTACTCCGGTAAACTCGCATAAAATAAACATCTATTCGTAAACATCATTTGTACAGACTTGCATAGGTATCAGAATGTCTCACTGGTCCTGTCGGTTGTCTCCCTTCCCTCGTCGGCTCTACAGTATATTATTAGTATTATTATAGGATATTTATATAGCGCACATATCCATGTATCTAATACATGCTCAAGGCGCTGACATTTTTTCCCCTCGATCACTGGATGTCAATCTCAACGGCACATCGTATTATCAATCTCAACTCCCCAGGGATCATACAACTCTTGCAGCCACTAGGCGCACCGAGTTATTGCGGTTTTTTCATCCTTACGAGGTACCCATTCAAAGCTGGGTGGACTGGGACACATAGTCACAGTACTTTGTCCAAGTTCACTGCACGTTGCTGTACCCGCAACTAGGTGTTTGCACGTATTCATGTGGCCACCATCTGGTCAAATACCAACGGATTCGTGGGTTCTATTAAGTGCACAGGGTTGTGTACTGTACACTAGGGGTTGTGACAACACTGAAAGAGTCTGCACACAAAGTTGACTCCAAGGTTTTACACCCGGTCACAGGTGGGCTCGATCCCGTCACCTCAAGCTCGCTGGATCAGTAGCCTGGTGCCTTAGCCAGCTCGCCCACTTGCCTAGTCAAGTTATTATACCACAGTCACAACGATTCCACATAAAGACAAACACCGAAGTTGGAGTAGTTTGAGGACATACGTGCACTTTCCGAGAACTCCTGGTCTCATTGGTGATCTTCTGTGTCCCATTCATGTAACTCACCACAAGCGTAGCCTCTGTATAGCCTCAACGTAGTGGAGTCTGTATAATCTCTGGCATTTACGTTATACTGATATAACATGAGAACATCTGTGAAACCTCTATTCTGAGACCGTGATCCAGGAATATTTGAATGTTTTGCATATCAGAGGAATCCTTTTTAAGGCGGCATCAAGTTCGCCCAGTTACAATACAAAACTACTGTTTAGCAGCACTATGGTAATCGGTGATTATTTCTGAACATCGTTATCAAAATTTCATTTTTTATTTTATATTTATTAAAGGATGCAGAGTGTTTACTTACCCCTGGATGAAATTCCAGCAAACCGACTTCATCACCAACATCCAGCTCTCTACAAAGCCTCTGTAGCATGTTGGGTAATGATGATACAAAACGTATATAGTGTACGCATACAAACTGTGGAAGTGTGTTGTTGTTTTTTGTTGCTGTTGTTTTTGCTTTGTTTTGTGTGTGTGTGTGTGTGTGTGTGTGTGTGAGAGAGAGAGAGAGAGAGAGGGGGGGTATTAATGGGTGCGTTTATGTCGCACAAAAGACATAGGCATAGGTAAACTAATTTGTTAGGTACAACTAGATGGCACACCTATCTAGTTTGCTGTTTATATCTTATCATCAGCCAAATGCTCGGATAGTCTCCCCTTGTTTTAACTGGAGAAACGCTCACTGTTAAGACAGCATTTACTTGATAACTTCCCACTTAGTAACCAGTCACTTCCAGCAGGTGAATGTACTGAATTAGACAGACATCAAGATAGTCAACGCTGAACATTTTATTTTCATAAGCATAGCAAAGCTTTCAAGAGACCGTTGTTTCAAGGACACCTTGCATGCACTGGTAGTTTCACTACAGCCGTAGTCTGTCTCGCCCTGCGCTGCTGAGGTATGATTACACACAGTGACACAACCACGTGACTCAGTTTTAAAAAGCCGAATGTCATCAACGACACAGTAAACGGGTGTATTGAGTTCATTTTTAGCAACACGCTACTCCTCTCTTACACAACCTGACCTCGTTATATTGTTTTTCAACAATGCAGTCTGTAACAGCTCTACGTGAATGTGGGTTTTGAGTGAATTGTTTTGGTTTTACGTTTTTCAGTAGAACTGGACAAATCAACAAAACAGTTGAAGTTTTGGCCTTGTAAGGATATGTTAGCATACAAGAAAATGTAAAGCTCTTTTCTGAGTTTAATTTGCCATTCTCATACAGACGAAAATCATAATATAAAGGGTTTATGGGACGTCATACAATAAGATGGGTGTCAATTTCACAAATAAGCGGTCTTGGTGTACACATGCATCACACACATGCACTCAAACAAAACCGGGGATATTTAAGGCAAACACCTCCATGGCCAACTTGGCTGTGCAGCATTCTTTGGATATTTCATATGAAAATTAAGATAAATATTACATGGGGCAGACGTAATGTACAAATTTGAGACATGAGAAAAGATGCATTGTTATTCTTTCAAATGATTTCTCGTTGATGAGACAAAATTGAAATACACCCAATGCAGTTGAGAATGTGGCTTGTTTCTTATGTCTATCTACTCCTTTATCTAAGGGGCGGTGGGGTAGCCTAGTGGTTAAAGCGTTGGCTCGTCACGCCAAAGACCCGGGTTCGAATCCCCACATGGGTACAATGTGTGAAGCCCATTTCTGGTGTCCCCCGCCGTGATGTTGCTGGAATATTGCTAAAAGCGGCGTAAAACCAAACTCAGTCAGTCAGTCAGTCCTTTATCTAGGTTATACAATACTGGTTAAGAAAAATGAATATGCCGGTTGTATCATAATGTTATTGTATCATTTAAATGGCAAAATAAATATATTTCAGACAATTACCATTAAATGTGGTCATGACTATGTAGAGAATGAAACAAATGTAAATTTTTATTCTCAGTTTCTGAATCCCTCCACAAGAGGTTAAAGGATACGCACTTGCAACACTTGTGTCAATCTCTATCGCCATTCCAAAAATGTATGTATTGCGAAATATAATCTTTTGAAGGACAATATATTAATTTAATGATATGTTTTAGGTATGCTCTATCAAAATGCATCTCTTCATCACATACACTTTGGCCAATATACTGACATATCATGGAAAGAGAGAAGAGATACTCAATGCAACCCGATGAAGTTATCAATATGTATTGCTTTCTCTTTGCATGTCCTTTATATTCTCAGTTCAGGATCATACACAATCTAAAGACAATGTGCATACACAAATATGTATAGTTCATTTTTTGTTTGGACAAACTATTTTACGAACCATGGAATGTTGACAACACAATATAACACATACCATCCACAGTTATGTAATTGTATCTTGCCACTGGCCAAAACGACTTCTTCACTTGCTGCTGCAAAAGCAACAATCAACACTTTCTGAACCCATAAACAGGTTACAAATTCATATTAAATGACACATTATGCCATTGCATATACACAAATAAATATTTATTAAATAGTAATAATCTTTGATTCTGAATTCCATGTGATCGCAACCAAATGATTAATGCTGGACTGTGTTGAGTTTTTCCATCACAAAGGATAATAAGTTTATTCCATATAGAATATAATGCTTAATCATAGGTCCAAGTTTTGTGCAGAATATTTGACCTTTCGCTCAGTGTGCGAAATGGTTTCCAGATTTTGCTAGCCAGTCGGGCAAGCTATGCCTGAAAGTTACAAGCCCACAAAATAATTCACTAGCCCGAAATTTGAAAGTAGAAAAATATTACAAAAATAGATGAGATTGAATATGATATTGTCGGCATACTCCCAAAGCACGCAATTTCCATCCTTAATAGAGTCCACAGCATATCGTTGCTAATATCCAAATCCACACCCACTTGCTGAGATAGACTGTCAAGGAACCTATAAATATAAAATGACATCATGAAATACATGACATGGCCACATTCTATCCGCACACTTTATGAGCAACCATTTTCATTCAAAATTACTTAAACACTCTTGATAGTTATGTTTAATCCATATCTATAATATACATCAAGATTTATTAGTAAATTTGAAAATGTTGAAGGATGAACCTTTATGAAGTTTATTCTCCTTTTTTTATAAATTCAGTGAAGACATGTTATTTAACAGCACTGTCCGCAACATTCCAGCCAAGTCACGCTGGCCCGTTGAAATAGCTGAATCTCGGCCATAACTAACAGAAGTCGGAACTATGGAATCTTTAATCGAGACAGAATCAGAATATTGTCTTCGTCTCGGCTTTAAAATCACAAAAATAACCTCGTGATGGGACGACCAAGGAATTGTTTCTGAATGCATCCATACCTTAAGCGTATCCGGGTAACAGTTAATTTCTAGACGTATATATTGGGAGCGGATGTTTATGACACCGTAACATCGTAAGTAATGGAAATGGACAAGGTCTGTGTATTTAGGGATGACTCACCATGGGACGACATGACTGTGGACTTGGTTGGTGAACCATTCAAGGTACATAATCCAGATGTCTGCTCACATCTCAGGCAGGACGATGCACATGGCACAGTACATTTGTCACCGTAATAACCATCTGGACACTTCTTACAGGTACCATTTATGTCGCATTCAACGTCCAGACATCTGTTGCTGCATGGGGACAGGCAGTCCTCATCCGACCATCCTCTCACACATCCCCTGGTACAAGTAACAGAGGAGAGCAGATCGTTGTATGTGCATGTATTGTCCATGCAATTCCTACACCGTTTGTCACACTTCGGCCCAGTGAACCCTGGCTTGCATTGACCACAGTATCCCTGGACAAGGTTGCATCTGTTCCACAGACAGTTTTCTGGACATGGTTTATCACACAATCGCCCGAACCATCCATCAGTGCAGCCAAGAAGACACGTTCCTCCATCCTGGTGACATGCAGATTGATCACAGTTGCCGGTGCAGAGTTTCTGACACTGATGTCCCCACCGACCAGGGATACACCCATCTTGGCATCTTCCCGAGTCACGGTCACAGTGTCGATGGCCATCAAAACCTGCACGGCAGTTGTGTGTACATCTTTTATCACACAACTGCCCATACCATCCATCGGTGCAGCCAAGAAGACATGTTCCTCCATCCTGGTTACATGCAGATTGATCACAGTTGCCGGTGCAGAGTTTCTGACACTGATGTCCCCACCGACCAGGGATACACCCATCTTGGCATCTTCCCGAGTCACGGTCACAGTGTCGATGGCCATCAAAACCTGCACGGCAGTTGTGTGTACATCTTTATCACACAACTGCCCATACCATCCATCGGTGCAGCCAAGAAGACATGTTCCTCCATCCTGGTGACATGCAGATTGATCACAGTTGCCGGTGCAGAGTTTCTGACACTGATGTCCCCACCGACCAGGGATACACCCATCTTGGCATCTTCCCGAGTCACGGTCACAGTGTCGATGGCCATCAAAACCTGCACGGCAGTTGTGTGTACATCTTTCATCACACAACTGCCCATACCATCCATCGGTGCAGACAAGAAGACATGTTCCTCCATCCTGGTGACATGCAGATTGATCACAGTTGCCGGAGCAGGGTTTCTGACACTGATGACCCCACCGACCAGGGACACACCCGTCTTGGCACCTCCCCGAGTCCCGGTCACAGTGCCTGAACCCGTCAAAACTTACACGACAGTTCATTGGACAAGGCTTATTACATCCATCAGAGAAGTGTGCAGGCTGACACTGTTTACATCTACCTGTTTGTTTGTCACACGTATCTTCACATCCTTGACATTTCTTCGTGCAGTCAGTACCGTACCATCCGTACACACACTTACTGCAGGCAAAGTGATCACATCGAAGACAATTGTCTCCACAGTTGACAGTTGACATCACTACAAACGAAACAAATTAGATCCAGATTGTTGTTAGACACAAAATTACGTTCTCTCATCTTCGTGGTCTCAACCTTTGTTTGTATATTTTTTTTATTTGCTGTTTGAGGAATTCTCTACGGGGGTGTCTACCTTTTAATAAGTACAGCTGGATTCTAAATATATATTTGAAATGGCTGATCTTTTAAATTGTTATTTGTTGAAGTGAAGAGTTTCATCTCTCGACTGAACACATAATTATACATATCTAACTTAGAAGATTGTCATCAACCTACATATTGAGGATATCATAAACAAGTGAGCTCTATTACAATCTTCTGAGGGGATAATAAAAAGCGTAAATCTATTCTGAATAATTGTCCCTGTATGAACGTTGCTGTATCGTTTACATTTCTGTATGATATCAAGAGCTATTAACTGTCGTGGCTTGTGTTGTGATAAATACTATTCACTTCCTTGAATGCCCCAAAACACAATCCCCTGAAACCTCATGTCCATTAACAGTATACCTGGAGGTAGTACATACACAATCCCCTGAAACCTCGTGTACAACACAATCCCCTGAAACCTCGTGTCCATTAACAGTATGGGGAGTGAATGTACACAATCCCCCTGCATGACATTTATAATAATCCCCTGAAACCTCGTGTCCATTAACAGTACATTTACATCCCACAAAACCTCTGATAACCTGGAGGTGGAGGTAGTACATACACAATTCATGTCAGTCCATTAACACAAACCGTTTGAGTAACTCCTTATGGTATTCAGTCCACAAACCGCTCCAGATCAGGGCTCCAGATAATTTTTCATGATCAGGAGTACGTACTCCCTATTTTTTCAACATAGGTGTAATGGAAAACAACATTTAGAGTACTGAATGGAATTTCATGGAGTATCAGTAATCTTGTGTTTCGTTTATGCACCACAACGTTGCTACTCTTGTGTAAACAGGTCAATAAACAATAAAACAATACTTTGTCAGATAAATACGTCTGGAGATGATTCTTAGACCGTACACCATTCCTGTGGTGCGTATCTGCTAAGTTTTCTAAATTATTTCCTACCGTATCATGCTTATTTCATATCCGTACATACGCAGATAAGGCCCTCATCTGGAACCCTGATATTTAATAGCATCGTTGACCATTTACCGTATAAAACAAAGGGATATACAAAACATGTCACATTAATTAAATCGATCAAAGTATATACGTGCGCATTATGTGTGTGACTGGGTGTATACAAGAATAATGTGTCCTATATGCATTGTATGTATATCTATTATTCTTCAAAGCCAGTTTCTGTTGTTTCTTTCATATCATTACGTTTCCGTTTGCAACTAGAAATTTCCTTTATATCTATTTGGGAATGGGCAAAAAAAATCCTACTGAACACTGATGTCTAAAAATACCATGTAATTTATACATAGGTTTTACTTTTTGTAATTTTTGCATTCATTTCGGTGTTTCATACCAAAGTATATACTATTTCAATTGCAGTTTATTGTGTTCAAGATCAAAATATCATTGTCTTTTATCATGTCACATTCACCATGAACCTAAACGGCACTTCTTCGTATAGTCACTAGAAACTGCATATCAAATCAACGTACTAAATTAACTGTCAAGACAACGTGATACTGGTATAGCGATATATATGTAACACCAGTTAGCCTTGGTAAAGAGCAATAAGAAAGAGATATATATGTACCAGCTCGACGGTATACGCAAGCGTCCTTACTCAAATGGTTCCAATTAGCGATTTCTGTTTTTGAGCAAAAAGATATTGGAAAGTTCTTGCCGCGAAGGAGATGAACAGTGAAGACTTCTTACCGTAAAAGACCAGTAGCACCATGACTGAAAAGATAAAACATAGAAACAAGATGTGACGTTTCTATTTTATCATTATTTGTTTGTTTTCTAGTTATCAACTGTATAGGGTAATAACAGCCTTAGGAATGACGTTTTCCTATCTTGCATTTAACGTCAGATATGCTCAGTTATGGAAGCTAAATGTCGTGACTCAGTCAGGTTCAGCACACCACGAGGGTGAGATACACATGGCATATGTAAGAATAATATCAACACTTGAAAAAAAAAATTGGTATTTTTACAAGGGTTTTAACTTACAAGCAATAAACAGCGCCACCAGTGAAATATTTTTCCACATCGTGAAGAGCTTCTATGTATTTTGAGGGAGCTGAAAATAAAAATTATTATACAATGATATTTCCTTAACTTCATCTGTTCCAGATACAAAAAGCTATTTTCTGAGATAGGCTTTGCTAGAGGACTTCCAACCTGCTACCTCATACTACAGGATTACCCCTCTGCCATTTCAAACCAACTTCAGCCCATATAACTGGCATCTTGTTCAAAACGTTGCCACACTTTCATCACGTGTAGATTTCACGTATATAACAGTGTAGATTACATTAAAACATTATGCAAAAGTTATATTTGAAGAAAATAACTAGATGTTTGATAAGCTGCGAAATACTAATAATATAATAATAATAAATAATAAATGTGAACTTATAATGCGCCTTTTCCATGCACAAGGCCCATGCTCAAAGCGCTAACAAAGTGAGTGGATAATATACATAAATACAATAAGGGACTAGTTGCTAGTCATAATGCAGTGAAAACAGATGAGTCTTGAGATGTCGTTTGAAGGAATAGAAGTCAACTGCTGATTTAATGGTGATAGGGAGAGAGTTCCAGAGTAGAGGGGCAGAGCAGACAAAGGATTTCCTTCCGAAAGTTTGCAGTTTGAACCGAGGCACAGAGAGTACGTTCAGATTCTGAGAACGGAGCTGTCTTTCTGGAGTGTAAGGTAAGAAGTTCTTTCATGTATTCTGGGCCTATGCCATTGAGGCATTTGTAGGCGCTTTGAAGTTCTGTTTATGATTCTGGGAGGCTGTATTTTGGACATTTTGCAATTTTGATAGCAGCTTCTGGAGAAATACCAAAAAGGAGGATATTGCAGTAATCAATTCTTGATATAACAAGTCCCTGGACTAGACCGTGTGCTGCATCACGACTGATGAGATGGCGTATTCTGCCAATGGCTCTTAGATGAAAGAAGCATATTCTGCAGAGTTGATTTACATGAGTGTCCATCGCCAGGTGGGAGTCAAGCGTAACTCCAAGGTCTTTAACAGAGTCCACTGCTTGTATCTCTGCATCTGCTACCAAAACAGTTTTGGTGGTAATTTGTTTTTGCATTTGCCTGGATCCAATAACCATCACCTCAGTTTTGTCATCATTTAACTTTAGCAAGTTGTTTGTCATCCATGACTTAACATCTTTAGTGCAGTCTGTTATTTTATGAAGACCCGTGTGAAAGTCCTTGGGAGTTGAGTTTTTCTGAAGTTGAGTGTCATCTGCAAACGAATGATGGCTAATGCCATGTTTGTCAATTACGTCGGGTATATCATGTAACATTATTGCCGTGCACACCTGTAGGACATATTTCAATCTCGACAACAAATGGCCATCTGGGCAGAGTATGTCCAGGAGAGCTGCAGACCTAGGCAGAGTATGTCCAGGAGAACTGCAGACCTAGGTAGGTTATGTCCAGGTGAACTGCAGACCTAGGCAGAGTATGTCCAGGAGAACTGCAGACCTAGGCAGAGTATGTCCAGGAGAACTGCAGACCTAGGTAGGTTATGTCCATGTGAACTGCAGACCTAGGCAGAGTATGTCCAGTTGAACTGCAGACCTAGGCAGAGTATGTCCAGGTGAACTGCAGACCTAGGCAGAGTATGTCCAGGAGAACTGCAGACCTAGGTAGGTTATGTCCAGGTGAACTGCAGACCTAGGCAGAGTATGTCCAGCTGAACTGCAGACCTAGGCAGAGTATGTCCAGGTGAACTGCAGACCTAGGCAGAGAATGTCCAGGTGAACTGCAGACCTAGGCAGAGTATGTCCAGGTGAACTGCAGACCTAGGCAGAGTATGTCCAGCTGAACTGCAGACCTAGGCAGAGTATGTCCAGCTGAACATGTCCAGGTGAACTGCAGACCTAGGCAGAGTATGTCCAGGAGAACTGCAGACCTAGGCAGAGTATGTCCAGGAGAACTGCAGACCCAGGCAGAGTATGTCCAGGACAACTGCAGACCTAGGCAGAGTATGTCCAGAAGACCTGCAGACCTAGGCAGAGTATGTCCAGGTGAACTGCAGACCTAGGCAGAGTATGTCCAGGAGAACTGCAGACCGATGCAGATTGCTAGTCGTTCGTTTGCCTTTAAAAGCAGCAGGACAGGCAAACAGGAGAGACCCGACAGACACCGAGAAGAGTGCGGACAAACCAGAAGAAAGGCCAGTCAGGTACTTTAACTGACCAGTCAACCCAACTAACTACTGCCCAAGTGTACATGTCAGCATCATTTCGCCGCCTTCCCCTGGTAGCCCTACTCTGCAAGCTGAGGGAGTGAGTTAACATTTATCGTCACATCGGCAACATTTCAGCCATATCGTGAATAATATTGTATTATAGAACAATAAAATTAGATATTAAAAGCCTGTTGACGAAGAACAGTAAAACTACCAGTTAATCACAGATATTAAAGTAAAACTAGGATGTTATCATAAAACGATGTTATAAAAGAGAACAATACAATATAGAAACAGGATATCGATTGCCAGCAACTGAAGGTAGATCACCATCCTTGACACCTTACAGTCAGCGTTCGAAATTAACGTCGGTTTTAGGTCCGAAGCCGACTGTAAACCACTGGGACCCACAGCTTTGTTTTCTGCGGTCCTTATGGGCAAGTTATGGCCGACAGCATGTTCATCCCCAATAACTAAGAGTATTATTTTTCAGAAAATGTCATTCAGTAATGTCTAGTTTTGATCTCGATCACCGGCTGTTGTCTGTAAGTGAAACGACTCTTGTTTTCATGGAAACAATTTTGACATTCTATGTTTGCTAGGAATGACTTATATTGTAGCTGAAATATAGGGCCTCATTATTATTCTGATCAGAACCCACAACTTTGTATGGTTCTGGGTCCTTAGGGCCTGCAGTTTATCAGGGTTAAGGGCAAACACTGCGTACAGTCCATTTTGCTTCCCGCATACTGAACCCTAGCATGATGTATACGTTCCCTTCAGCTATTTTTGACAATCTAGCCATAAATTAAAATAACATGTATACTACGATAAAACATAGTAGCAGGTATAAACATACTTTCAATGTTCGGGGATTCATAAATTACGTACCCTCTCAGGGGGACAATAATTTTAATATACTTTAACCCCATTTGAGGATACTGCCTTAAACAATCTCAGTTGTTAATTTAAACTACTAATTATAAAATATTAATCTATTTTACACAACTTCAATCAAACGTTTTATAATAACTCTATTTCTTTTAAAATGAAATGATTAAATTTGAAGTAAGATCTGCAAGCTGTGTGCAATAACAGTATTGTAAGAAATACAACTACCCGCCTTTGTAATGGCACTACGCCCCGAGTTGTCTCAGCTGCTTATAGCTAATGATACAAAACGATTATAAATGGAGTGAACATAGCCTAACACATTTAGACCCCGCGTACGTAGATCTTGAAATTTGAGAAACAATCTGTTGCCTGCTACATGCATCACTGGCTTTGTAGGGTGTTACGTAACCTACTGGTTTCCATGATATATGTCGAACAGTGTTCTCACATAGGGCGCTACAAAGTATTACAACAAAACCCGTGGGCGTCCGAACATAGAGAGCCACTAAGATTCCTCCATCGCGTCTTTGTACTGAGGGAGCTGGTTCACGAGCCCTCGTTTCACGCATACAACAGACATGTATGTCGTCTGACAAGTGTTAGGCGACGCCTTTGACAGAATCTCAGACACATTTACACGTAGTGATCATAATTACGGACTTACTTGTTGATAAACACGTTAAGGCTCAAGTTGCGTGGCGTTCATTCTAGTGCCCCCTCTTTTCGGCAAAAAACCACTTTCCAAGAATCAAGATAGCATTTCCCCCGAACTGTTCAGTCGGCCGATGAACGCTTTATCGTCAGGTCTATGTGCGCATGATATCACGTTCACCGATTCTTGGAAGATTAGATTCTTACTTTCGTTTGAGCCGATACTCAAAACTGGTTATTTTTTCTATATTCTCCTGCAGTCACTCGTCTACATGTTGCACCCGGGTGTGACGACCAGGCACGCAGTATCCAAGTCAGGGAAGATGCGTGTATGGCTATTTATAGAGTAGGGCAGCCCCAACTAACTATCACACTGAACCCAAGTTCGCAAGTATGATGCTGGACTAGTCTGTCTACAGCCCCCGAACCATATTATTTCCTACAGCCTATCCTCTCCTGCAACGCTAAAGCCTATTTCAAGCAAGGCTAGATTTCTCTGAATCTACCATCTCACTTGGGCTCCTTTTCAGTTTAAATGGGATTATTTGTTACTATTATATGTATTCAGAGACTAAGCGTTAGTCTAGGTGCTGATAAACAGGTTATTTCACAGGATATGTTCCAGATATTATGTGAAAATGTTTCCCCAGTGATCTTCATTATCCTGGTTTTTTGTAATTTCTTTTGGTGCATTCATTCACATTGTTTTCCTTATGAAATGTACTATACTATTTCAATTGCAGTTGTGTGTGTCTAAGATCAAACATATCATCTGTCACATATATCATGTCATATCTTCACCATGCAACCTAAACGGTAACTTCGTTATGATCACTAAGAACTGCATATAGAATCAAAGTACTAAATTAACTGTCGAGAGACAACGTGATGCTGGTACAGCGGAGGCGTAATGTAACACCAGTTAGCCTTTGGGGAAGGGCAATGAGAAAGAGATAGCCACATGTACCAATATGACGGTATGCATAAAGGCTGTCCTTACTCAAAAGGGTTCCAATTAGCGATTCCTGTTTTGAGGCAAAAAGATATTGGAAAGTTCTTGCCGCAAAGGAGATGAGCAGTGAAGACTTCTTACCGTAAAAGACCAGTACTTACCGCGGATTGAAAAGATAAAACATATGGGAAACAAAATGTGACGTTTCTATTTTATCATTGTTGTTTGTGGTTTTCTAGTTATCAACCTTTAGTGGAATTGTATGTAACAGCTTTTAGGAATGACGTAAGCTCTCTATCTTGCATTTAACATCCAGATAATGCTAACAAGCTATGGGAAGATAAATATCACGTGAAAAAATACCCTTGACTTAGCTTCAGGTTCAAAGCACACCGAGGGTGAGATACCGATAGCATGTCATAGAGAATTATATCAACACTTGAGAAAAAATGCATTTATTATTTTACAAGGGTTTATAACTACGCCAGCAATAAACAGCGCCACCAATTGTTATATTTTTCCACGTCATCGAAGAGACTTCTAAGTGTATTTTGGAGGGGAGCTGAAAATAAAAATTATTATACAATGATATTTCCTTAAAATCATCTGTTCCAGATACAAAAAGCTATTTTCTGAAGTAGGTTTCTGCTAGAGGACTTCCAACCTGCTACCTCATACTCACAGATTTTATCTCTGCCACGGCTCAAACCAACTTCAATATTATATAACTGGCATCTTGATTTCAAAACGTTGCCACTTCTCTTCACGTAGATTTCTACGTATATAACAGTGTAGATTACATTAAAACATTATGCAAAAGTTATATTTGAAGAAAATAACTAGATGTTTGATAAGCTGGCGAAATACTACGCCGGGTATATCATGTAACATTATTACTGCGCACACCTGTAGGACATATTTCAATCTCGACAACAAAATGGGTATTATCTGGGCAGAGTATGTCCAGGAAAGCTGCAGACCCTGGGCAGAGCATGTCCAGGAGAACTGCAGACCTAGGTAGGTTATGTGTCAGGGTGAACTGCAGACCTAGGCAGAAGTATGTCCAGGGAGAACTGCATACCTAGGCAGAGTATGTCCAGGAGAACTGTGCAGACCCAGGTAGGTTATGTCCAGGGTGAACTGCAGACCTAGGCAGAGTGCGCGTCCAGCTGAACTGCAGACCTAGGGCAGAGTATGTCAAGATTGAACTGCAGACCTAGGCAGAGTATGTCCAGGAGAACTGCAGACCTAGGTAGGTTATGTCCAGGTGAACTGCAGACCTAGGCAGAGCATGTCCAGCTGAACTGCAGACCTAGGGCAGAGTATGTCCAGGTGAACTGCAGACCTAGGCAGAGTATGTCCAGGTGAACTGCAGACTTAGGCAGAGTATGTCCAGGTGAACTGCAGACCTAGGGCAAAGCATGTCCAGGTGAACTGCAGACCTAGGCAGAGTATGTCCAGGAGAACTGCAGACCCTAGGGCAGAGTATGTCCAGGAGAACTGCAGACCCAGGCAGAGTATGTCCAGGACAACTGCAGACCTGGGCAGAGAGCATGTCCAGGAGAACTACAGACCTAGAGGCAGAGTATGTCCAGGAGAACTGCAGACCTAGGCAGAGTATGTCCAGGAGAACTGCAGACTCCAGGCAGAGTATGTCCAGGAGAACTGCAGACCTAGGGCAGAGTATGTCCAGGGTGAACTGCAGACCTAGGCAGAGTATGTCCAGCTGAACTGCAGACCTAGGCAGAGTATGTCCAGCTGAACTGCAGACCTAGGCAGAGTATGTCCAGGCTGGAACTGCAGACCTAGGCAGAGTTTGTCCAGCTGAACTGCAGACCTAGGCAGAGTATGTCCAGGAGAACTGCAGACCCAGGTAGGTTATGTCCAGGTGAACTGCAGACCCAGGTAGGTTATGCGTCCAGAAGACCTGCAGACCTAGGTAGGTCATGTCCAGCTGAACTGCAGACCCAGGCAGAGTATGTCCAGGAGAACTGCAGACCTAGGCAGAGTATGTCCAGAAGACCTGCAGACCTAGGTAGGTTATGTCCAGGAGAACTGCAGACCTAGGCAAAGTATGTCCAGGAGAACTGCAGACCTTAGGCAGAGTATGTCCAGGAGAACTGCAGACCTAGGCAGAGTATGTCCAGAAGACCTGCAGACCTGGGTAGGTTATGTCCAGGTGAACTGCAGACCTAGGCAGAGTATGTCCAGGAGAACTGCAGACCTAGGCAGCAGAGTATGTCCAGGAGAACTGCAGACCTAGGTAGGTTATGTCCAGACGACCTGCAGACGCAGGCAGATTATGTCCAGCTGAACTGCAGACCTAGTCAGATTATGTCCACGTGAACTGCAAACCCAGGTAGGTTATGTCCAGTAGAACTGCAGACCCAGGCAGAGTATGTCCAGGAGAACTGCAGACCTAGGCAGAGTATGTCCAGGAGAACTGCAGACCTAGGCAGAGTATGTCCAGGTGAACTGCAGACCTAGGCAGAGTATGTCCAGGAGAACTGCAGACCGATGCAGATTGCTAGTCGTTCGTTTGCCTTTAAAAGCAGCAGGACAGGCAAACAGGAGAGACCCGACAGACACCGAGAAGAGTGCGGACAAACCAGAAGAAAGGCCAGTCAGGTACTTTAACTGACCAGTCAACCCAACTAACTACTGCCCAAGTGTACATGTCAGCATCATTTCGCCGCCTTTCCCCTGGTAGCCCTACTCTGCAAGCTGAGGGAGTGAGTTAACATTTATCGTCACATCGGCAACATTTCAGCCATATCGTGAGGGAGAACAATTAATTATTGTATTATAGAACAATAAAATTAGATATTAAAAGCCTGTTGACGAAGAACAGTAAAACTACCAGTTAATCACAGATATTAAAGTAAAACTAGGATGTTATCATAAAACGATGTTATAAAAGAGAACAATACAATATAGAAACAGGATATCGATTGCCAGCAACTGAAGGTAGATCACCATCCTTGACACCTTACAGTCAGCGTTCGAAATTAACGTCGGTTTTAGGTCCGAAGCCGACTGTAAACCACTGGGACCCACAGCTTTGTTTTCTGCGGTCCTTATGGGCAAGTTATGGCCGACAGCATGTTCATCCCCAATAACTAAGAGTATTATTTTTCAGAAAATGTCATTCAGTAATGTCTAGTTTTGATCTCGATCACCGGCTGTTGTCTGTAAGTGAAACGACTCTTGTTTTCATGGAAACAATTTTGACATTCTATGTTTGCTAGGAATGACTTATATTGTAGCTGAAATATAGGGCCTACACATTCTGATCAGAACCCACAACTTTGTATGGTTCTGGGTCCTTAGGGCCTGCAGTTTATCAGGGTTAAGGGCAAACACTGCGTACAGTCCATTTGCTTCCCGCATACTGAACCCTAGCATGATGTATACGTTCCCTTCAGCTATTTTTGACAATCTAGCCATAAATTAAAATAACATGTATACTACGATAAAACATAGTAGCAGGTATAAACATACTTTCAATGTTCGGGGACTACAAATTACGTACCCTCTCAGGGGGACAATAATTTTAATATACTTTAACCCCATTTGAGGATACTGCCTTAAACAATCTCAGTTGTTAATTTAAACTACTAATTATAAAATATTAATCTATTTACACAACTTCAATCAAACGTTTTATAATAACTCTATTTCTTTTTAAAATGAAATGATTAAATTTGAAGTAAGATCTGCAAGCTGTGTGCACACAGTATTGTAAGAAATACAACTACCCGCCTTTGTACGGCACTACGCCCCGAGTTGTCTCAGCTGCTTATAGCTAATGATACAAAACGATTATAAATGGAGTGAACATAGCCTAACACATTTAGACCCCGCGTACGTAGATCTTGAAATTTGAGAAACAATCTGTTGCCTGCTACATGCATCACTGGCTTTGTAGGGTGTTACGTAACCTACTGGTTTCCATGATATATGTCGAACAGTGTTCTCACATAGGGCGCTACAAAGTATTACAACAAAACCTGTGGGCGTCCGAACATAGAGAGCCACTAAGATTCCTCCATCGCGTCTTTGTACTGAGGGAGCTGGTTCACGAGCCCTCGTTTCACGCATACAACAGACATGTGTCGTCTGACAAGTGTTAGGC